CACCTTCTCAGATATGAAGGACTAGTTACAATCATATTAAAAGCAGAAAGATGACTGGAGGTAGACCTAGGTTAGATTACTGTTGCTAAATAGTTAAAGATATGGGATGTTCTAGTTTTAAGGAAATGCGAAGATTAGCTCAGGATAGGAATAAGTGGAAGTGTATGTCCAACCAATCTTAGGACTGATGAGTTTATGATGATGATAATGATGATACATTTATTTGCAACTTATTATTGTTGTTGTTTCTATCGGTCAGACTTTTGTCCTTCATACTTTCTGGTACCAAGAAGGTTGAAACACGGAATACTTATTTGGGTTGCGAATTGATGGTTTTATTTATACGTCAAGAGAAATCAAACTATGAAACATGTCGTAGAATCATCACTGCTTAGGTTTCTTTGAAATAAGAAGTTTTTTTGATCCTTTCGTGTTTATTTAATTTCGTCAATTTTGTTGAGTTGCGATTCATTATGGCCATAAACGGTGGAGCAATTTGGTTTGGAAATGAAATATGAAGCAATAGGGAAAAGGTTGCGTCGAGTTCCTTTCAACTCGGTACTCTTTCACCTGGAGCGACGCCATTTGCAAGTCCATAATAATAACGAAAAAACGTTTACGTCGTCGTATTTTTCAAAATAAGCGGACGTTATTACGTGAAAAAAGCCACGAACTTGCGCCGAAGTATTTTTATCTGCTCTATCGGTCTCCGCGGGGTAGTTGCTTCCGTCGACTCTGCATGGCTCGCCCCGTGCTGATACACTTGAAATACGTACCTAATATTGTTCCGGTGCACGACACTGTCTTGGGAATACCCCCGAGACCAATCCTGGGCACCTAACAAAACGCTCCACTTAGAATTATGGCTCCAGATCGCGCACACTACTCCGCTTCACTCACCTAAAGTAATTTCCAGACCGTCAGGCCACACCACGACTATTGCAAGGGATGCTGGAAAGTTAGAGGTGGAGATAAACTCGTTTCTTTTAGATTAGAATTTGTTTTATGCTTCTTACTGTTACTGCGCATCACTGTGCACTATTCCAAACAATACCAAACTTTCAAATCCCAAGAAAATCATCCCTTAGTGGATATGATGTATCATACGAGGGTGGATTGATAAGTTTCCGGCCTGACCAAGAAAAACAAGGTTTTTAAAAATTTTTTTTTTTATTTCTCAACATAATCTCCTCCAAGGCTGATACATTTCTCATAGCGGTGTTCCAGTCTATTAATGCCATCTCTATAGACTGATTCGTCAAGCTCCTCAAAATAACCATTTACAGCTTCGATTACTTCTTCATTGTCCGCAAATCTCTTACCGCCAAGCCATTTTTTGAGATTAGGGAACAGAAAATAGTCACTCGGGGCTAGGTCTGGAGAGTAAGGAGGGTGCGGCATCAATTCAAACTTTAGATCGTTGATTTTAGCCGTCGCAACGATTGACGTGTGCGCTGGTGCGTTATCGTGATGAAACAAGATTTTTTTCTTCGCCAGATGAGGTCGTTTAATTTTCACCTCGTGGCTCAAACGTTGCAATAAGTCTGCGTAGTATTGACCAGTGATAGTATTACCCTTTGCAAGGTAATCAATGTATATAATACCTCTTGCATCCCAAAAAACAGTAGCCATAACCTTGTTCGCCGAAAAAATTGTTTTTGCCTTCTTTGGAGTTGGTTCCCCTGGTCCAATCCACTGTTTAGACTGTTCTTTGGTTTCAGGAGTGTAGTGGTGGACCCACGTTTCGTCAACGGTTACGAATCGACGCAAAAATTCGCTTGGATTACGCTTATACAATGACAAATTTGCGGTAGAAATGTTTTTTCGAATCAATTTTTGGTCGACTGTTAGCTAACGCGGCACCCATCTTGCACAGAGCTTTTCCATATGCAAATGTTGGTGCAAAATATGTTGCACACGTTCATATGACATCTTACAGGTCTCAGCTATCTCACGCACTTTCAATCTGCGGTCTCCCAGCACTATTTGATGAATTTTTTCGATCATATCTGGAGTTGTGACCTCAACGGGGCGTCCTGAGCGAGGCCCATCAGAGGTGCTCACACGACCCTTTTTAAACTCGGAAACCCACTGCTTAACGGTTGAATATGACGGGGAGGATGTCCCCAGTGTTGAGTCCATCTCTTTTTTAATTTCCTTCGGCGTTAACCCCTTCAAATAAAAGTATTTGATGACAGCACGATTTTCCTGCTTTTCCATTTTTACGAAAACCACAGAGGCGTCTTGTTCAGCGTGCTGTCAAACCTACACTAGCAAGGAGATCGGGCTGAAACTATAGCTACAAGCTATCCAAGGATGGTACTATAGAATGTCACCTCAAGGTAGGCCTAGTGGCGTCATCTCTTGGTTAGGCCGGAAACTTATCAATCCACCCTCGTAGGTCAATATTTTGGTTGATAAATCAAACTACATCAGAATCGTTTGGTGACTGATAAATATAGAACTAGTGGAGTAATTGTAACATCTACAGTAACGTATTCTCTTAACATTCCTATCAGAGATGGTATGTGAGGAGAAATTCTAACCAATTGAACGGTCTGATCTAAATCCAAACAATATGAACAATCCTCGACGGTTTCCTTTTCTTTTTTCCAGTCAAAACAACTGACTGAAGGCAAAATGGAGATATAGGCGTTTTTTAATTACATTAGGTTTCATGGTCTCAAATTTTGATATGCCAAGATGCATTCTTCTAAAGAATAAACATTTAAGTTTCAACTTTGAAAGAATCTTTTTCAATTCCACACCAAGTATCTTTGTCGAGAATCGTCTTGGAGATGAACAACTTTTAATCAATGATTTTTTATTCGAATGGTTGTATGTATTAGAGCATTTCCCACAAATGGCATATCTATCGATGGAAGAGGGAAGTATCTTTTGAAGAATCTAGTATCATTTGTGTTCCTCTAATTAAGCAATTGATTGGCATAAAATATTGTCGGGAAAGACTAAATATTTGCTTTAATTCGTGAGAGAGGAATGATCTTGAAGTAGAAATTAATCGTCTAATTAGAACGAGTTGTGTGTTGGAAGGCGTTTGACATGGCGGTATGTAGTTGAAGTGTAACAGGTTGGAACCCCACTGCGTTTCCCCATGGGAGTCCGTGAAATGTATGTATTTGTAATGACGACGCCACGTCCTGGCCGTCTTCGCCGAAGAAGAGGACAGAGAGCAAGCAGAGTAGAGTGAATATACATAGAGACCGTGTCGCGGCAATTTAAATGTAGATTTTGTATCCACATTACGCAGCGCCTTTACAAGCGCTACCACTTAAATATTTGTTCGCCGACACCTTCGCCTTTATTCGCCCATAAATTTCGATAAAGTAAAAGCGGCGCACCAGCACCACACGGCCCCCGAGAATAAGGAAGAATGATTCGTGTAGGGGAGTGGTGCAAGCAAACACAACTTTTTGCATACAGTAGTACGCTTGCTGTATCGCGCCAGTTATTTATACCTCTTTTATTACTGGGGTGGTAACGTTTTATTAAATGGTGTAAATCTCTTTTATAAGTCTGAGGAAAATGTGAACCGTTATCAACGGCTTTCAGTAGCGAAGGATCTTTAACTTTTAGAAAACACGCCAGAGGAGCAGTGAAGAAAGGGCCGCGAGCATAAAACCAATAAATGACATCGAAAAGAACACTATCTATAGCGAAAGAACGACTTTATAATCTTTAATGTTAATGATACCATCACGAACTCGAAAATGGCACACAAAGACAAAAATCAAAACAGACGAGAATCCTTCTAATTATTATTAAGGAACATATAAGCCAATTAAGGACACTAAGAAACACAACGTATTTATGAGAACACTTGCTCTTCATCATTACCATCATATCATCAAAACGTCATCAATGCTAAGATTGGTTGGACATGCTGACACGCAGTTCCACTCGTTCCTATCCTGAGCTAAGTTTCACATCTTCGTAAAACTGAAAACCATTTGTGAACAGCACTCCTCTCAACTCTTGTTTCCGATTCTTGACTTCCATCCTACCCTTTCTAATACCTCCTAGTTTCTAATCTTCTTTATCCACGGTATCCTCATCATTCGCCTGCAACGCCATATTTCGGACGCTTCTTACCTTTTCTATTCTGCCGTGCCCATTGTCCACGTTCCGAACCCTATCAGGACTTCACTTCGGACACACCTTTACCAATCTAAATTAGCCGTTCGCAAACATTCAACAGAATTCCTTTATATTTCTGCTGCTCTCTCCATCCTGAATTATCTGACTTCCTATATATTGAAAATCAGCGATTGCCTCCTATTTTCATACTCACTCTTCCTTTTTCCCTTACATATCTTCCTTTGCATACCAATAGTTTTACCAATACTTAATTTAAGGCTCCAGTTCCCCTTTGCTGGGCCTTTTCTCTTATTATAATATTAGGGTCCAAGTTTATGTTATTAAGGACATTTTTCGAAATTAGTGACCTTAATAAGTAATTCTATAAAGGTTTCACTTGGGATTCCTTAAACAGAAGAGTAGTCCGATAGCATTATGTGGAACACATGCATTACTGTTTTTAAAGATGGCGCCTTTCACTTACACTTCTTAGTTGCAAAGCAGCTATATGAAGACATGGCATCACTCAGTAGGCCATGAAGCATCGGTGGTTCAGTGGTAGAATGCTCGCCTGCCACGCGGGCGGCCCGGGTTCGATTCCCGGCCGATGCATAATTTTTCATTTTAGACAAAGCTGTTCCACATAATGACATTACTCAGTCACATATATCGGAATGATACAGTCATCTTTTCAAAATGTCTTTTGCAGCTTAACAGGAAAATTAACTGGTGACAGACTTTATAAAACCCTCGAACTGACGACGAAGTGGAGATTTGGGGATTCTTTGTATCTTCAACATCATTTTCGTCCATCGTCATCAAAAGAGTGAGTGTTAAAACTATTATACACTGGTAATTTCATCCTTCTTCAATTGTTTAACAACAGATCCGAGAAAACAAAGTGGAAAGGAATATGATTTTGGATGGTCATCTAAAACCCACGAACTGACGACGAAGTGGAGATTTGGGGATTCCTTGCATCTTCAACATCATTTTCGTCCATCATCATCAGAAGAGTGAGTGTCAAAACTATTATACACTGGCAATTTCATCCTTATTCAATTGTTTAACAACAGATCCGAGAAAACAAAGTGGAAAGGAATATGATTTTGGATGGTCATCTAAAACCCACGAACTGACGACGAAGTGGAGATTTGGGGATTCCTTGCATCTTCAATATCATTTTCGTCCATCATCATCAGAAGAGTGAGTGTCAAAACTATTATACACTGGCAATTTCATCCTTATTCAATTGTTTAACAACAGATCCAAGAAAAGAAAGTGGAAAGAAATATGATTTTGGATGGTCATCTAAAACCCACGAACTGACGACGAAGTGGAGATTTGGGGATTCCTTGCAACTTCAACATCATTTTCGTCTATCATCATCAGATGAGTGAGTGTCAAAACTATTATACACTGGCAATTTCATCCTTATTCAATTGTTTAACAACAAATCCAAGAAAAGAAAATGGAAAGGAATATGATTTTGGATGGTCATCTAATGATCCATGAAAGGAAGACTATCACTATCCGTTCTCCTTCATTGCTCGGTGTCTTCGAATCCAGTCAATGTCGGCTTTATCGTTTGGATCGCGTCCTCGAGGGATAAAATGTAGACAACAATCCATGTTTAACATATACATCGGGTGTGGGCCGCGCGCCCACACCGCGTCGCAACACGCCCGCGACCTGTGACCTCTCCGGCCTGCTGGGATCGCGAACAAGACAGCGACAGATACGATCCAGAATGTATTTGTCACGATTGCCGTCGTAGCTGGAACGCGAACGACGCAAATTGTGTCGCGACAATTTAAATATGGAGATTGTGTCGCCACATTACCACCACCAAACGTTCGACAACACCAGCTACCTGTTATTACCTGGACCGCCAGATCGTCCATCTGGATGTTTTACTGTTGCCTTGTGGATTATTTCGTTTACAAGCGTAAGACAGAACACGTTCAACGGGAAAAAAAAATGCAAACTACTTCAGGACGTGGTCCAAATAGAGTGGATTTGGAAAAAGTTGATGTTTTTTCCTGGATGAAGCTAAATTCTAACACAAAGTAGAAAATCGAAATTGTCCCATTAGAGCTACGAAAAAAGTCACTCCAGTGCAATTTGGGATGCCCACCTGAGATTATTGCAAGTTTGAATAAATGCCTGGTCCAGTAGCGGAAAGCCGAACATAGACTTCTCTATATTGGTTCAAAGTTCGGTCAATCTTCAAATGTCGAGGCTAAGTACATTAACCTTTAGTTACGTTTAGCCCAATACTGGGGCAGCCAAACATTGTCGTGTCAATACGGGTCGAAAGTTTGAGCAATCTTCAAATGCTTGTTAATACTGGTCCAATGATTAGGCAATCTTCAAATACCAATTTAGGTTTATTCAAGTTCCGTCAAGTTTGGTCCAATACTGGGCAGTTCGAGGCTAAGTACATTAACCTTTAGTTACGTTTAGCCTAATACTGGGGCAACCAAACATTGACGTGTCAATACGGGTCGAAAGTTTGAGCAATCTTCAAATGCTTGTCAATACTGGTCCAATGATTAGGCAATCTTCAAATACCAATTTAGGTTTATTCAAGTTCCGTCAAGTTTGGTCCAATACCGGGCAGTTCGGCATAGGTTTGTTAATACTACATCAAGGCGAGAGCAATCTTCAAATACCAAGGATAGGTGTATTTACATTTTGGTCCAAAACTGGGGCAGCCAGGCATTGGCTTGTCAATACTGGACCAAAGTTCAATCAAGTTTCGAGTGTCATGGCTAAGTATACACGTATAAACGTTTCGCCAAACTGTATCTAATACTGGACAATGAATTATTGGTTAAGATGAAAAGCGACGCAGTTGCCTAATCTTGGATTAATTTTGTTCAAGTCTTGGCATAATATTGGTTACCCAATTTTTAGTTAATGCTGTTCACCGAGTCTTGGCACAATATTGGCTGTCCAATTGTGTGTTAATATTGTTCACTAAGTCTAGGCAATATTTTGTTTGCCCAATCTTGGACTAATATTGGGTCAGTATTGTTCAGCACTGGCTGTCCAGTCGTGGACCAAGCTTGCAATCCAGACCATTGCTATGTTTAGTCCAATATTGAATGCTTATTTTGGAGGGTGTTCTTCAGTTATGTTTCAATGGGATGAATTTCGATATGATGGCTGGATTTTCCCTTCTATTCATCAAGGATGACCCATCTCGAAATACAAATATCCATTGGAAATTGGAGTGATTTTTCCTCTTTCTACCAATAATCGCATAATTTCCTTTTGAATAACTTGCTGAATAGCCAAGCTTCAATAGTCAATGAAATATAATCCACAAATCTTTTCATTAAAAATCACACGATTTCAAAGTCCAAAATTCAGATTTCTTACAATATCATCTGTCTCAGGTGTTTGTTTAAATTCATTGCCAACAGCGCAAGATATTTGCCCAACTAGGGAAAACAACAAATGAGATGTAACATGATAAAGTGGTAGTTCTAGTATAACAAATTGTTCAATTAAACTACGCATTGAAAAGCTGCATCCTCGACGGCTTGTTGCATTCCGAACCGTACAGGAATTACGGACCTTTTCCGATAATTTACATGGGACGCCGGATTCGTAACGCTAGAAAATTTGTAAGTGTTACGTGAAGAGTGGCGAGCCATTTTTATTTCGCCTTTCGGTTGCAACCGTAAAGAAAGAAATTAATGAATGGACAATTTAAAATCGAGTAGAAAACAGACCCTCGAGTATACCGGAAATACATCAAAGCAACGTTCGCTGAAAACAATCTATTAATTTCCGTCAGAGAAGGCCTTCGTCAATTTGTTACTTCTGACGCCATGTCGGCCATTACAACTAATTTGCTTGCATCCATATGGTATAAAATCTAATTAATCAAAATCAACAACACCAATAACAATGTCGTCATCATCCTCATAAGGTCATCAGTCTTAAGATTGGTTGGACACGCACCTCCACTTGTTCCTATCCTGAGCTAATGTTCGCATTTCCCTAAAACTAGAACAATCCCTATCCTTAACTATTTTCGAACAGTAATCTAATCTGGGTCTACCTTTACCCCTCCTAACACCCGTTTCTGCCTCTATGTCTCTGACTAGACCTTCATGCTTGAGAAGGTGTCCTACTAACCTATCTCGCCTATTTCTTATTGACTTCATAGAGTCCCCTGTTCTCCTATTCTTTCTAATACCTCTTCATTTCTAACCTTATCTATCTACGGTATCCTCATCATTCGCCTGTAACACCACATTTCGAAAGCTTCTATCCTTCTATTCTTTATATCCCTACTACTCCTTCCGTCCAGACTGATACCTGCAAGGAAATTTCTAGAACTTACTTTCTTTTGATATAGTCTTAATCAGCTAATTATGTAATATTTTTCGTATTTATTTCAAATTGATACTTCAATTTATTCAATCATACAAGATAGCGCACTTTTCGCGACAGGTACACAGGAGGAAAGGATTACTATTCCTGTATTTGGGGATTACACGATGTGGAAGAGGTATTGACAAATGGAGTATAATGGAATCAAAATAAATAAAAACTACTGGGGATGAAAGGGATGTAAAAAAAAACTGAAGGCAAATTATACTTTGGTTCAGAGGTCGTAATGAGTAGTTGTGAACGCGCGGATCTCTATTCGGTTGTGTCGGCCATTATTTAAGCGGCAAATGGCCGGGAAATCAAAGCACCGGCTCGAGTTTTAATTTTTAACTCGACTGTGCTCCTGACATTTACATCCGCAAGCTTGGATGGCTTTTTACGGCCCAGTTGGATAAGCTCTATCGCGCTGTCATGGCACCAACAGATCAAAAGGAACACGCATGGGGGACGGTTATTTATTCGATGGAGGCATTAAAAGCAGAAGCGACAAAGAACACGATTTAGCTTCTTGTGACAACATTTTAAGTAGCCTGCTTGGGGTTTGCATGAAAATGTTTTCATTTATTTCGATTGCCCTCTCACCAAATCAGGCTTAATGCAGAAATGTTTTAAATAAGTGTTTTTTTCTTTTTGGGACAAATCTCCAAAACCTATTTGAAGATATAAAGGGATTGATCAATCAATCAGTTCTTTTTGCTGAACGATTGCTACTCTGCAATGATGGACTAATAATTTCTTTGGCTGGTTCTTACAGGATGAGTTTTCGGTCAATTGCACTTGGTCTTGGCTTCTAATAACTGTATTTGATCTTGGTTTCGAATAATTGCATTTATTCTTAGTTTCTAGTACTTGTATTTGATCTTGGTTTCGAATAATTGTACTTGTTCTTGGTTTCTAATAATTGTATTTGATCTTGGTTGAAATAATTGTATTTGGTCTTACTATCCAATAATTGTATTTAGTCTAGGTTTCTAATAATTGTATCTGGTCTTAGTTTCGAATAATTGTATTTGGTCTTGGTTTCCAATATCTGTATTTGACATTGGCTTCCAATAATTGTATCTGGTCTTAGTTTCGAATAATTGTATTTGGTCTTGGTTTCCAATATCTGTATTTGATATTGACTTCCAGTAATTGTATCTGGTCTTAGTTTCTAATACTTGTATTTGATCTTGGTTTCGAATAATTGTATTTGTTCTTGGTTTCTAATAACTGTATTTGCTCTTGGTTTCCAATATCTGTATTTGACATTGGCTTCCAGTAATTGTATCTGGTCATAGTTTCTAATACCTGTATTTGATCTTGGTTTCGAATAATTACATTTATTCTTAGTTTCTAATACTTGTATTTGATCTTGGTTTCGAATAATTGTATTTGTTCTTGGTTTCTAATAATTGTCTTTGCTCTTGGTTCCAATAATTGTATTTAGTCTTCGTTTCCCGTAATTGTATGTGGTATTGGTTTCCAATAATAGTATTTGGTCTTGGTTTCCGATAATTGTATTTGAACTTAGTTTTAAGATTATAATTTCTTCATTTAGCGTTAGCTTTATGAAAATCATTGGTTGTGTAAGATCCGTCCACTTCGTGCGATTGCGGAAACTTACAAAAAACCTTTCATTCATTTGTTCATGCAATCATTACGATTGTATCATCGAGAGGACTCTGGCAGAAGTATATGAAAAGTCTAAAACATTTGCCTTTCTTTAGGAATGGTTGAAATGTTTCGATGTTTTAGTCTCGCGCTTGTCTCTACTTTATAACGTTTACAGCTCGGTTTCCAGCAAATAATGAAGATATACTACTACAGTTGCTTCCACCACATGTGGACATATTTAATTTGTGTTTGTGTAGATGTCAGTGGGGCCGTAGAAGTTATAGTCCTTCTCGTATGCTGACGCTTTTTTGTGGGACTTAGCTTTCCGTAATCCTCCAGTG